GTTCTGTTCCACCACGATAATGCACCTGCACATTCCGCCAGAATCACTGAACAAAAGATAAACGAACTTCGCTTCCAATTAGTTCCACATCCACCGTACTCACCTGATTTGGCCCCCAGTGACTTCCACCTTTTTCCAAACCTAAAAAAATTCTTGGCTGGAAAGAGATTCCACTCAAATGACGAAGTCATCTCTGAAGTGAAGGAGTATTTTGCACACCTTGACAAATCAACCTATTGTGACGGCATAAAAGAGCTAGAACATCGCTGGAATAAGTGCATTGCTAACAGAGGAGATTACATTGAAAAATAAAATAAGTTTTAACATTATTTTGTTTGTTTTTCTGTGTGAGGCCGCGAACTTTCCGAACAGCCCTCGTATTATAAATATTTTCAGATGCAAATAAATTCAACTAAAAAAGTAATGACATTTATATGTGTATCTAGACTGGGACAAAAGATTCTACCTTAGGGGAAAATTACTGTAATATGTGACACTTGATAACAAAGATTGACAGATTGTTGTGGGGGGAAAAGAAAAAAATGTGAGAAAAGAGACAAACCATGATTTATTTCAAATAATTGCAAAAGAAAATATTTTAATTAAATCTAAGCACATGCTATTGTTATTACGAGTTATGTCTGCAATTTAAGCAACTTACAAGCCTACGTTTACTAGTATTGTTAACGCCATATTAAGCATCATAAACAATAAACTAATAATTGTTCTGAATTTTCCGATAGTTTAGCTGTTTGTAATGTTGATTCAGTAAATGTCTCTTCAATTTGAAAAAATTCTTTTCGGTAGACTACCTCACAGCCAGTTCAGGTTATAATTCCTTTTACAGATGCATTTCGAGCTAGGTTAATTTTCTAGCTCCTCCTCAGTGCTACAAAATAAATTAAATTTTAACAAATTGATAAAAAACAACTCGGGTAGATGATGTTACAACAAGGATGGTGTTACATCATAAGGATTATCCATTGTCGGGAAAATTTTTGTTGTATTCTAAATTTTTTTTAAAAGTAGTGCAAACGTATACTGTCAAAATTTTAAAAGATAACATGCTTTTAATGGAAAAGAAACCTGTATGTATGTATATTTATTTATTTTATTTATTTTTTAAAAATGGTTATTGTAAAATATTACTAAAATGTTATAATTTATAATTAACAGTGTAACAAACAGCACATTTTTATGATGTAACAAGATACATGTTCTTAAAGTAATTTAATTAGAAAGAAACCAGTATGTATTTTTAATTTGTTGAGTTTTTTATTAAAAAAAAAAGTTCGTTTAAACATTTGTAAAAAGTCACTATACGTTATAATTTGTATGTTTGTAAGGTAGCAAGCAGACCTTTGTACGATACAAGATAAAAAACCCTTTGAATAATTGCATATGCTGGTAAAAATATTGTAAATGGGACTAAAAGTACCGTATAAGTGTGAGGGAAAAAATTAGAAACTCATGGAAACTCTTATAAAACCATATTTTATAATAACTTTTATTTATATTTATATTTTTTTATATTTTTGTTGTAACATCTACCCGAATTGTTTTTTATCAATTTGTTAAAATTTAATTTATTTTGTAGCACTGAGGAGGAGCTAGAAAATTAACCTAGTTCGAAATGCATCTGTAAAAAGCAATAAAAGGAATTATAACCTGAACTGGCTGTGAGGTAGTCTACCAAAAAGAATTTTTTCGGATTGAAGAGACATTTACTGGATCAATAAACTAATAATGATGATAAAATGAAATATGTGGTATCTACTGTTCATGAATGAAGATAATATAGCACATACCAGCAATGGCCAACTTAGAAATCAACATTATCTATGTATAACACAACGATGGATGCTAAATGAAAATAGAATGTTCACATTCGACACTTCTGACGTGACCAGATTTATTGGAACATTAAGAAATTATGTGTAATCATCTTAAGTTATCATTGTTTTGATATAATTTTAAGGTCTGTATACACCCAAAAGTTACATTCGGAATAGTTAATTGGGATACACTCCTAATTACAAGATAATTAAAAACAGAATCAGAGTAGTGTAAATTGAATAATATTACTGTGTCTGCCTATTGTCTACAAGAATATCAACAGATTGTATTACGTTAAGCAGAATTTCTTAGCCATACGTACTGTATATCCACTCTGATTTTTCTGCTTTGCATTAAGAGGAAACGTCTGCAGTTATTTTGAAACAGTTTAGAGAATCATCAAGGTTCAATCATTATCGAGAAAACAATTAAGTCTAATTTATAAATAATAAATTATTCGTTTTTGGTCATTTTTGTCGATTAGATTATCATCGGTCACGTTTGAAAAAATTTAACTCTTCGTATCAATTCAAGAACGTTGGTTATAACTAATGTCAAATAAAGCAGATACCTTTTTTATTTTGAGTTAATCAAGAAATGGTTTTTCTCAACCAAGCCCAAAAGTTTTGAGAAAAAATAAATCAGCTTGGTAGTTAATTTGACCAATATGAAATTCATTCCCCCAACTCTGATTTTTTAATTTCTTTTCCTATGAAACGTTTATTATTTGTTCTTTGCTCAATAGAGTTGAAGCAATTAACAAAGAGTTATTGTTTTTGCTTCTAAGAATTTATTTGTTTCACAAATTGGTGTAATACACAATTTGGCTTTTAAGCCAAATTGTGTAATATAAAAATTTTTTTAATAAGATAATAGGAATTTCAAAAACACATTTTTTATAACCTAATTATTTCTACAATATAGGTTGTTTTATATAAAATAACACAATATATTAAATTAAAGAGGGACTGAACGGCTACAAAATTAATACGTTTTGTTTACTTTTTGTATTATATTTTATTTAATTTTCAATTCGTTCAAAATAAGGATTAAAAATTAAATAAAATATAATACAAAAAGTAAACAAAACGTATTAATTTTGTAGCCGTTCGGTTCCTCTTTAATTTAATGTATTGTGTTCCAGCCCCGAATAGGCTGGATTTAGGCATTTCGAGGCACTAAGCTTAAACTCTGAGTAAATATAGAAAAAATTTCATATTGGTTAAATTCTCAATATTCTTGTAGACAATAAGGTCTGTCTTATAATTATAAGACCACGTCTCATTTTTTAATTTCATAAAAATAAATGAAATATTTATCACTGTAATAACACACAAAATTTTATTAATTATTTTTTTTTTACAAATTATCTAAAAACATGCTGTTTCAATATAAGACCACATACAAAATATTAGAAAAATTAAAAAAAAAACTGTTATTACGTCATCTATTCATTGTTGTAATGTCATTTTCACAGTTTTAATGGTTTTTACCACATTTTAAATCTACTGTATTCTGTTTTTTACAATGCCACATGAGAAGGAGTTTTCAAAGGATGAAATTCATCAAATTTTGTACTATTGTGGTTTAGGGAAGTCAGAAAGAGAAATAGCACATACTAAATATTATGAATTGCTGTTTTAGATCTATATTATCAAAAAAAGGAAATTTATGAAAGAAAAAGCGATCGGGACTTAAGAAATTCTTGAGTAATCGAGATTGCAGAAGAGTGTTTTGGCAAGCCACCAAGAATAATATGGCTACCGAGGAAATATCTCTTGAAATGGACAATACAGTATCACATACAACAATTTGGAGGCTTCTGCAAAAGAATCCTATTGTTAAATATTCAGCATTAAAAGCTATTCCAAAACTAACAAACTCTCATAAAATAGCTCGACTTGAATGGTCCAAAAATTTCATGTTTTGTAAAGAAGAATGGAGAACTATCGTATTTTCTGATGAAAAGAAGTTCAACTTGGATGGACCCGATGGGCAGAATTGTTACTGACATGATCTAAGCAAAGAGCCAAAGGAATGTTTTAGCAGGCAAATGGGAGGTGGTCTTGTAATGTTTTGGGTTGCATTTTTTTTTTTCAGGGAAAGTTGATCTTGTTAGAATTTCTGATAGACTTTACTCAGAAAAATATCAAAATATGTTAGGGTTCAAATGATAGTAAATGATTACTTGTCTTGGTGGTAATAATTGGATATTTCAAAAAGATAATGCTCCTTGCCACAATTCAAGTGCAACAAAAAAATGGTTTGAAAAGGAAAATAGTAAGTTTTGCCATGGCCATCAAGAAGGCCAGACTTGAATCCTATAGAAAGCCTATGGAGCATATTAAGAAAAGTGTATGCAAATCATTATCAATCAATATTTTCATGTAAATGAACTAGAATTAGCAATTGTGAGAGCCTAGGATGAAATGAAGGAAGAATCGCTTCAGAAATTAGTTAATTCTATGCAAAATAGAGTTTATAATGTTGTTTTAAAAAGGGGAGGTCGAATTGGTTATTAATTGATTACTTTTTTATAATGTACAGTAATAAATATTGTATAATTTGAATTAATAAACATTATTATAACATTAATCAAATAAATATTTCATTCATTTTTATGAAATTAAAAAATAAGAGACGGTCTTATAATTATGTAACAGACCTTAAACAGACACAGAATAATAGCGTAAATTATTCAATAATATAAGACAAAGAAATTCATATTCTCTTAATCCGTATATTTACCCAGACACAAAACACACAACTCGCAGACCTGTGGTCACTTTCTTCTACTGATATAATAATGGACTAAAAACTGCTGTAACAATTATTGAATTGAAATATTTTTCAAGTAAATAATGAAAATTACAATTATTTGAAATGGATGCTGGTGTTTCGACCATTAACATCAATTATAATGTCACGACAGACGATTAACAAGATAATTGAAAAATAATTACCTTTATAATAATTAGCAGTGGTACTTTGTGATACACGATTCCGTCCACGTCTCTCCATCTTGTACAGACACGTCTGCATACTAATAATTCTTCGTCTTCCAGGTATTGAAACATGTAATGAATTATTTCTGCAATTCTGCTAATAAGTTCGAAAAGTGTTCAGATATTTGACATATTTCTGTTGTTTGCCGACGAGACTCGTTTTGTATTTTGGCCATTTTCTGTAAACAAAAACAAGTTGTTAAGAGAGTATCAACATGAATGCATTAGAAAAATAACAGGATATAAAACAAAGATTCAAATTATCATATATGTTTGTGTCAAATATACATTCACTTCTAACATTAATATAAAAATGAGTATTTTTACAATATTTAAGGTACTTACCAAATGTTTCATTTGTCTGATTCAGAACGGTGACAAAGACAAACTAAGCAATAAGCTCATTTGTAGCATATCTAGAGGGTTCACTTCCTATTCACCTAACGGTAAATTCAGTCGTGACGTTTTTCCTAAACCGGCCAATCAGCGTATTTCTGCCATGGTTGGCATTACAGTGCACCGTTGTTGTAACATTTGACGTCTTTTACACGTGACTGTACGATAATTACTAATTCTTAACAATTTAATCTAATTACTTTTGATAAATAGTATAACTTTACGATCACAAAATTATCAAACACAGAGTCTCGTTTATTAATAATACAAATGGAAGCCTTTGTGACACCCTCTACTTTCTAAAACATTTATTTTACAAGTTAATTCTAGAAACTTTAAAAAATATTTATATTATTGTACCGAGCAGTCTCGATATTTACGTACCAAATTTAATTTTAGTAAACAAATTAATCCGTGTAAAATTTCAATTATTATATTTTTTCTCTTATCGTGAAATTCAATTTTTACTTTCCTCCTTTAAATGTAATTGTAAGAATTTCAGTAAACAAATGGAACTAATCACATAATAAAACTTACTGAATTTACTTACACAAGTAATTATTTTTTTACGAATGATAATTTTTACACACAAGAAATAGGCATAAGTATGGGATCTGTAATTGGTCCAGAATTGACAGAACTCACAATAAAAAAAATATTAACCATAGTATAAACATCATAAGAGACTACGAAAACATACTCCAGAAGACCAACATTGGAAAAACGTCCTAAAAGATAAATTGCAAGGTGAGATTCAAGAGCAATTAATGGATATGAATTACTTTAAAATACATTTAACGGAGAAGAAAACACTAGCAATATTATCATTACCGAAGTCTATAACAAAAATAATACAGTACAGGGAAAAAGAAGAAATTAATTACAGTAAAAGCACCGATTTAAATATATAAAAATCAGAAGAATAAAAAGAAAGTTAAAATGATTACATATTAAACAAGATAATGTTGTAGGAGAAGTATGGAAAAAGAAAATAGAAAAATAAGTGTAATAAACAATGTAAATTAAGCAAAAACTTCAGTTTTCCCGTCTTACTTATTTTTACAAAGTCCCTGTTTATTATTCATAAGTAAAATATTTTGCTCTATGTAATTTCTATAAAAATAAATTAAAATTATTTCAAAATTATCCCCCAAAAAAATGTTATATCCAAATCTAAACAAAATCTAAATATTTTTATTCAATACTGTCAATGGTTTAATGATACAGAATGTCCATAAGGTTACCGTGCAGCGAGAAGTTTGTAATGACATTAAAGTTATACGTACGACATTGCATACAAGACCCGTAAGTTGTACATCTTGCGTCTCCACTTTGTAGTAAGTGGTGTCAGTCACCACTCACTTGTGACTGCTTAATCTCTGGTGAAATCTGGCCCACTAGGTCTCTGGACCCCCCCAGATTTTGGGGCCTCTGGGGACATTTCTGGCATAGAAAAAACTGCCATATCACATAAAACTTAACATAAATCTTTACTCACGGACAGTAACTTTTCAGACATTTGATGTGTTTCAATGTTGTGAAAAAATGAATTATGAACTGCTAATCAGCTCTTATAAATGTAAATTAATATTTGTTTAATAAATAATTAATTAATTTTAATAAAAAACTACTTTAATCTCGTTGAATAATTAAACAATTATAACTTTGTAGACAATTTTAAATCTTCGTGGCTTACAATAACGTTCTAAACTTAAAATTGTATTTTTTGCAAGAATTATCAACTGTTTGTTTTGGTCAGAAGATTCTTACTGAACCAATCCGGCCGCTCTCTCGGAATTTCGACCACTTTTTTATTTTCAGAGTTATTTTTCGCTCGTGGATCGTCGTCTGTGTAAAAGACCACCACTTCTTTCTCCACGGGTTCCAATTTCAGCTCTTTCTGAATTGCTTCTTGCATTGCTTCGGTTTCCTCTTTAACTCTTTTCCAACAATTACCTAAATATAACTTTAATTACTGCATATTTTTCTATTATAATAAATAAAAAGTATGTCATAAAAAAAGTAAAATTTATATGTAATGCAATTGGAGAGAGAAATTTTTCTCAAGAGTGTAGCCATTCAGAAATATTTCTCTCTCTCCAAATTTTTAATGAAACTTTTAGTAGGGAGGCCAGTGCTAGTTTAAAAGTAATATTAATCTATTTATTAAGTTCTGAAACTACTACTGTACTCTTTACCATATATACATCATTGAAAAAATATATAAATAAGTTATATATTTATTTAGATCTATACAGGCTGTCCCATTTTAATCAATACATGGAATTACTTGAGAAATTTGCATACTATGAAAAAAATGTTCAGGCAAAATTTGCATTGTATCAAGGAGTCACAAAATGGTTCTATTGGTTTTCTCATAATTTAACATCCTTACTGCATAGTAAGCAGTAAAGATGTTAAATTACTACGTAGTAATTTAGTATGAAGCAATTTAACTACAAAGTAGCTTTTCAGACACACTGTATTAGTAGAAAAAGTTAATGATAATATATTTCGATATGTATTGAATAAATTTTGATTATCGTCTTTCAAAGAATTTAAAATTACAAGTTAATATTCTTCAATCCCAAGTAAGAGAGCTATAGCAAAACAATTGCAAAACAATTTAAACTTGTATTTCTTACTTAATTGTATTGTTATACTTGTATCTTGAAGTAAAGGGTATCCACCAGTGCACAATAAGGACAATGGTGGTCGCTTCCAAAATTTTTACTTATACGCCTCCTAACTTTAACTGAAATCAAATTCTAAAAGTAATATTAGTTTAATTAACAAATAAAATGTTTTTTTATTTTTCTTTTATCTGTCATGTTTAAATTTGACTCTCATCTTCTCTAACAGAACTAAAACTTCTCTAAAACAAAAAATCTTTGTCTATCAACTGACTCTTGTATCATTAAAAAACATAATGAGATCAATTGGTCATTTAAAAATATTCTATGTAACCAAACAATTTTCTATAAGCTTTGATTACTTAAAAAAGAAACAGAAAATTTCGATCAGTCATCTGCAGTCCCAGTAACATCAATTAATTATATTGCTGTTATTCAATAATGGGAACAGTCTTAATTAACAAGAAATGGAGCTTCAAATCACTAAAGTTATTTGTTCTACTGTAACCCAAGAGGCTTTAGTAGTAAATACACAGAAATTACTCATATGATGAATGAATACAATCGCCATATTGATTTTTTGATAATTACAGAGTCGAACTAATTGCATTAATACACCTCCAGACATAAAAAGGTTATACAGTATATCTCTGTAAACAGGAACCTTATGGAATCTAATTATTTTTTATGATTTGAACAGCATTTATGATTAAAAAAAAAAAAAAAGATAAAGAAGAAATATTCTTCAAATGCTTCTTTGAGAACTCAGTTTTCTGAAACTTGTTCGCTTTTTGGATGTTCTTGTTTCTTAAAAGTATCTGATCATGTATGTCCCTGTTAATTCCAACAGAGACTACATCCCCATACATTCCTTTATCAAATGCCATTGTTTCTCTGACAGAGTTCAAATTTGTTCTTGGAATACAATTTGTCATATTTTTCAATGTCCATTATACCTGAAGTGATTTTACTTATTTGTCTACAAATAGAATCTTAATTTTCCACTTTATCCGGGTTAAGTTACATTCTTTGTACCCAAAAACCTACTTTGTTTGTGTTGAACAGATTTCCACCTTATAGTAAATTTAACAGAAAATCACCCCATTTCAAAGAATTTTTTTCATTTAGACAGGTTTCTTTTTCATTCTGGTTCTATTTTAGACAACTTTTACTGTAATATCAAAAAGAAAGATTACCTCAAAAACTGGAAAAGTACTCCTATACATAGATGACCAAATAATATTTTTAATTCACAGACTTACATTCATCAATAATTTACTGATCTGTTGATTATTACAATGTATAAACATATTTTTTTTGTGACATTGTCATAGTAGTTTGATGCAAGATGTTTAAGACAATCTTAAAATCAATTACAAATAATTAACTTTGCATATTATTGGAGATTTTAATATAAACCTCTTTAAGAATGATTCAGTCAGTACTATAGACTTAACAAACTTCTGCTTAATGGAAAACTTTAATAAAAATAGCCAATGGAGATCATTCACAGAGATGTGACGACAAATCTTATTCATTGTCAGACCAAACATTTGATACACGGAAAGCAGCAGAATTGCCACAAGAGACAGATTGATTCCCCACAGAATTTAAACTTGCGCATTTCCACCCATCAGAATTATACACATTTACATAATTATTAATGTTCATATAAATATATAATAATTCACTTCCTTCCTAATTATACTCCTCATTTGTATGAACATGAGATAATCAGCCAAAAGTAATAATAGCTCAAAAATTATCATAGCTTATAATGAGAAATAAAAGATAAACAAATTGAAAAAAATGGAGAAATTTCCAGTGGGCTTGAACACGTAAGTGTAGAATCCGTGGGCAAGCGCTACGTCCAGCAGCAATCCTACCACTTGCGGTCTCAAACATTCAAGGTATTTTAAGTTCTTGTCAAAATAAGAAATGTGAATTTTCTCAAAAACTATCACTTTTCAGACATAATATACACATACAAAAATTACTTGTCTTTCAATATCTATACATCTCTGGATCCAAAAGTGATCCATTGTCACAACCCGAAGGAAACTTACAATTTACTTGGATAAAATGCAGAAGTGGAAGCTTTACAGGAGGTTATTTTTAAACTGTCGTCATGCACCTGCGCCATCAAATATAAATTGCACACCCAGGGTCAATCCGGCACCAATATAAAAAAATTAATTAGTGAAAATTTATCGTTGAAAAACCAGTATTTTTATTTTTATTCAGTTTCTCAATATGTTTCTAGTCAAATTCAGTCAAAAAATCTTAACTTGATTATAATTTATTGAAGATTTTAATTTTTTAATACAGTGAAAACTGCTTAGGCGACCACCTGCATTCGACGAGCACCTGTCAAAACGGGGAAAAATTTCTGGCACGGAATAGTTTATCCATAGAGTCTTCGTATAAGTTACCTGTATTAAACGACTACCTGTGTAATGCGACCGTGGGCATCAATTTTTAGTCCAAAACAACATACAACACCTATAATGAGCAACCACTTTCGTGAATGTATCTGGTCTAAACTATTATAACCAGGGTGGCCAAGCTCCTTGATAGTCCGAGCCATTTTTCAAAATTTGAAATTTTTTGCGAGCCGCAATTAAATACGTATTTAAAAGGTATGCAAAAAATTCCAGAATACAAATTATATTCGTAGCAAGAGTGATACAAATTGTTTCCTCCAGAGCACAATGTCAACTGTCCATTGCAATGACAGTTTACAAATTCAAAATCGGTCTGGAGTCGGTCGATAACGGACGATTACGCCACTGTTTATGTTCGTTCGCGCAGTTTTCGATGAGTCATATCATTCTTAACTTGGACGGAAATGAAATTTGTTACAACGTTGCACTTAGTCTTTCATATTTGTTGTTAGTAATTTAAAAGACATTTTGAAACACATACGGAACGATAATAATTTTTTAAAATATAATAACACAAAAATGAAAAGGGAACTCGGGTACATTTATCGAGAGCCACAAATAATCCTTCAAAGAGCCGCATGTGGCTCGCGAGCCGCAGGTTGGCCACCCATGTATTATAAGAACCCATCTCAATAACGTTTCCGCCTCCTAATATAATGAATTAGTCTAAACCAGTGTTTCTCAACCTCTAACAAACCGTCGCCCCCTTCAACGTAGTATCACTCCCTTCAATAAAACCGTTACCTATTATCGCCCCCTTCACTTCAAAATTCTGATGCCGAGGACCAAGACTAACGTCAAATTCGTACTGTATTGAATAGACTAGTGACTAGTATAGTGTTATTTGTTTAATCATTGTACGATATAACGAATAAAATATCTAATTATTCTTAATATAATGTTTTACTATATCGCCCAGAAAATTGTTTTTTTCCCCCCAAAATATAAATTGTTACTAATCGCCCCCTCAACATGGAAAAACGCCCACATGGGGGCGATATTGCCCCCGTTGAGAAACACTGGTCTAAACCCTCGTTCGAATCCATCCTGGGCACTTCTCCCACCCTTGAAATTAGGTGCAGGTGTTAATAAATTAGTCTAGCAACAAAGGAAATTCATTTCAGTTTGTTGGAAAATGTCC